ATGCCCGCCCCCCCAGTCCGTGAGAGAGGCATCCGTCGTTAGCGTTACACGACGACAAGGAGCCCCTAACATTGGGCCTCGAACCAGGAACCAACGTTTCTTCCACACGTCTAAGGCACGTAAGCACGACCGACTTGCTCTGATGTCATGCTGACGTGTGCCAAAAAACTATCGCGACGGCGAGGCGGCTGTGTCTGAATTGTGCAGTCGAGCGCAGTTTAATGCTCATTGGTTCAGACAACTGTGATGCTGTGTTCTCTTCTAACATATTTTATTTTCTATCTGATTTCATGTGATTATGTATTTAAATTATGCATGAATGTTCACTATGAATCCAAACACTATGACAGTGTGAGAAATCTCTGTGTGAGAAAATGTGATTGTTGTCATATTTCTATAAAAATCTAAAATACATGTTTGTATTAAAGTAAAAATGGATGATAAATACGCCTTTCGTATGGAATTAAATAGCAAGCACTTTGAGTGTCTTGTTCATCATATTTATTTTTATATAAAGGCAACAGAGCTGAAATCATATCATGTTAATCAGCAGCACAGCACGTGAGTGAATTATGCGATATTTGCCTTTGATCTCGTAGGTATCTTTTTATTATTATTATTATTATTATTACATATATCAGAACAATACAACGAAAAACATTCAAATGTAAAGGAAAAATAGAAAAAGATGAACATTAATGTAATGAAACGTACAAAACGTACAAAACGAGCACCGCACGATGCGTAAGCGTGACGTCATCATTGCTCGCGTGACAAAAAAAGCGAAAGTAAAAACTAAGCTACTAACGGTAAAAATATAAACAAGTTTCCATTATTTTATTCCATCGTTTTATTTTTATATGTAAATAACATTCAGAAACGGTAATTTAAATAAATAAGGATCAATACGAAAGAAAAACAAAACAAAAGAAATGCCATTTATTTATTATTTCATCTGACATGCGCAACACGGACCGAAGCGCACCTAGAGGCGCGCTAAAAAAGAAACAAAGTGCGTTTATTCACATATTGTTCTCTCTCTTAATATGTACGTGAGTGTATACAGCATCACACAGTATATGCCTAAAGGATTGAAGGTTGTCGGGTAAAAGAAGAGCATACTGATGCAGTTCACTCAGTCTGCTATTTTATTCCAACCGAATTCCAACATTCTCCGGACCAGACGC